TGAACACAGTCATCTAGGCCTCACATTGAAATCATTGAAAGCATCAAACTCCTGATGCGAAAATATGATCCAAATTCTGAAGGACCCCTGAGAGTGAAGGCTATCTGCATATCAATGCCTGAAAGCATTGAGGCCCGACATCAAAATCATTGAAAGCATTGAACTTCCAATGCTGAAATTCACCTGATATATAGTATTTTGCTCCTATCTCACTCAAATCACATCTGTTTGAGATAATCAAAATTCTGATGGACCCCTGAGAGCAAGGGCTATCTGGGTGGTAATGCCCGAAAGCATCGGGACACTCAGCACTCGGAAGGCACTTGGCACTCGGCACTGGCACTTGGTACTCAGCACTTGGTAGTCAGTATATGGGATTTTGCATATATCTCACTCAAATTATATCTGTTTCAGACAATCTGAATTTTACCACACCCCTGAGATCGAGGGCTATCTACATGTCAATACCCAAAAGCATTGAGACCCGACATCAAAAACATCGAAAGCATTGAACTTCTGATGCCAAAATTCACCCGGTATATAGTATTTTGTTCATATCTCGCTCAAATCACATCCGTTTGAGATGATCTAAATTCTGACAGGCCCTTGAGAGTGAGGGTGATCTGGGTGTAATACCCGAAAGCATCGGGGCACTCGGCACTCGGCACTCGGAACTCGGCACTGGCACTTGGCACTCGGAACTCAGAACTCAGAACTCGGCACTCAGCACTCGGTAGTCAGTAATACATAGTTTTTTGCAAATATCTCACTCAAATTATATCTGTTTGAGACAATGTGAGTTCTGCCACACCCCTGAGATCAAGGGCTATCTACATATTAATGCTCGAAAGCATCAAGACCAGACATCAAAAACATCGAAAGCATCGAACTTCTGATGCCAAAATTCACCCGGTATATAGTATTCTGTTCATATCTCACTCAAATCACATCCATTTGAGATGATCTAAATTCTGACGGGTCCCTGAGAGCGAGGGCGATCTGGGTGTTAATGCCCGAAAGCATCGGGTACTTGGCACTCGGTCGGCACTCGGAACTCGGCACTCGGAACTCGGCACTCAGAACTTGGCACTCGGAACTCGGCACTTGGAACTTGGTTCTCGGCACTTGGCACTCGGAACTCAGAACTCAGAACTCGGCACTCAGCACTCGGTAGTCAGTATATACATAGTATTTTGCAAATATCTCACTCAAATTATATCTGTTTGAGACAATGTGAGTTCTGCCACACCCCTGAGATCAAGGGCTATCTACATATTAATGCTCGAAAGCATCAAGACCAGACATCAAAAACATCGAAAGCATCGAACTTTGATGCCAAAATTCACCCGGTATATAGTATTTGTTCATATCTCACTCAAATCACATCCTTTGAGATGATCTAAATTCTGACAGGTCCCTGAGAGCGAGGGCGATCTGGGTGTTAATGCCCGAAAGCATCGGGGACTGGCACTCGGAACTCGGCACTCGGACTCGGCACTCGGAACTCGGCACTCAGAATGGCACTCGGAACTCGGCACTTGGAACTTGGTTCTCGGCACTTGGCACTCGGAACTCAGAACTCAGAACTCGGCACTCAGCACTCGGTAGTCAGTATATACATAGTATTTTGCAAATATCTCACTCAAATTATATCTGTTTGAGACAATGTGAGTTCTGCCACACCCCTGAGATCAAGGGCTATCTACATATTAATGCTCGAAAGCATCAAGACCAGACATCAAAAACATCGAAAGCATCGAACTTCTGATGCCAAAATTCACCCGGTATATAGAATTTTGTTCATATCTCACTCAAATCACATCCGTTTGAGATGATCTAAATTCTGACGGGCCCCTGAGAGCGAGGGCTTTTAATGCCCGAAAGCATCGGGTCACTCGGCACTCGGTACTCGGCACTCGGAACTCGGAACTCGGAACTCGGAACTCGGAACTCGGAACTCGGAACTCGGAACTCGGAACTCGGTTCTCTGCACTTGGCACTTGGTACTCAGCACTCGGTAGTCAGTGTGTGTGGTATTTTGCATATATCTCACTCAAATTATATCTGTTTAGACAATCTAAATTTTGCCACACCCCTGAGATCAAGGGCTATCTACATGTTAATGCCCGAAAGCATCAAGACCCGACATCAAAAACATCGAAAGCATCAAACTTCCAATGCTGAAATTCACCGGTATATAGTATTTTGCTCATATCTCACTCAAATCACATCTGTTTGAGATGATCTAAATTCTGACAGGCCCCTGAGGACGAGGGCTATCTGGGTGTTAATACCCGAAAGCATCGGGGCACTCAGAACTCGGAATCGGCACTCGGCACTCAGAACTCAGCACTCGGCACTCAGCACTTGGGACTCGGCACTCAGCACTTGGGACTCATTAAATCACATCTGTTTGAGATGATCTAAATTCTGATGGGCCCCTGAGAGCATGCGCTATCTGGGTGTTAATGCCCGAAAGCATCAGGGCACTCTGCACTTGGCACTCAGCACTTGGTACTCAGCACTCGTAGTCAATATATAGTTTGCATATATCTCACTTGAAATTCACCCGGTATATAGTATTTTGTTCATATCTCACTCAAATCACATCTGTTTGAGATGATCTAAATTCTGACGGGCCCCTGAGTGTGAGGGCTATCTGGGTGTTAATACCCGAAAGCATCGGGGCACTCGGCACTCGGCACTCGGCACTCGGAACTCAGTTCTCGGCACTTGGCACTTGGCACTCAGCACTCGGTAGTCAGTGTGTGGTATTTTGCATATATCTCACTCAAATTATATCCGTTTGAGACAATGTGAATTCTGCCACACCCCTGAGATCAAGGGCTATCTACATGTTAATGCCCGAAAGCATCAAGACCCAACATCAAAAACATCGAAAGCATCAAACTTCCAATGCTGAAATTCACCCGGTATATAGTATTTTATTCATATCTCACTCAAATCACATCTGTTTGAGATGATCTAAATTCTGATAGGCCCCTGAGAGCGAGGGCTATCTGGGTGTTAATACTCGAAAGCATCGGGGCACTCGGCACTCGGAACTCGGCACTTGGCACTGGTACTCAGCACTCGGTAGTCAGTGTGTGGTATTTTGCATATATCTCACTCAAATTATATCTGTTTCAGACAATCTAAATTTGCCACACCCCTGAGATCAAGGGCTATCTACATGTCAATGCCCAAAAGCATCGAGACCGACATCAATAACATCGAAAGCATTGAACTTCTGATGCCAAAATTCAACTGGTATATAGTATTTTGCTCATATCTCACTCAAATCACATCCGTTTGAGATGATCTAAATTCTGACAGGCACCTGAGAGCGTGGGCTATCTGGGTGTTAATACCCGAGAGCATCGGGGTACTTGGCACTCGGCACTCGGAACTCGGAACTCGGAACTCGGCACTCAGCATCGGCACTTGGTACTCAGCCCTCGGTAGTCAGTGTGTGGTATTTTGCATATATCTCACTCAAATTATATCTGTTTCAGACAATCTAAATTTTGCCACACCCCTGAGATCGAGGGCTATCTACATGTTAATGCCCGAAAGCATCAAGACCGACATCAAAAACATCGAAAGCATCAAACTTCCAATACTGAAATTCACCCGGTATATAGTATTTTGCTCATATCTCACCCAAATCACATCCGTTTGAGGTGATCTAAATTCTGATGACCCCCTGAGAGCGAGGGCTATCTGTGTTTTAATACCCGGAAGCCTCAGGGCACTCGGCACTGCACTCGGCACTCGGCATCGGCACTCAGCACTCAGTACTTGGTACTTGGTAGTCAGTACTCGGTGATTCGAGTCTCGAGACTCGAGACTTGTGATTCACAAGTCAAAATTTGACACTAATGTAGTATCTTATGTATTTCTGTACTCATTTCACTGACTACCGAGTGCCGAATCTCGGGTCTTGGGTATCAGGTCTCGGTACTCGGTACTCGGTATTTCCAGATGACAAAAATGTAATCATCTTCAATTTGAATTTCTTAACTCGGTAAAAATGTATGACTTTCCAGTTGGGTTTGAATTTTGAGTTTTGAGTCTTGAGTCCCGAGTCTGGGTGTTCAGGGCTCGGGTTTCAGGTTTCAGGTTTTGGGTTTTGGGTTTTGGGTTTTAGTACTTGGTACTTGATATTACCCGATGTCGGCCCACCCGTCTATGTAAAATTCTGCACTTCGGCCCACCCGTCTATCTAATATGACCCCACGTCGGCCCACCTGTCTATGTAATAAATAATTCACCTCACCCTCGGCCCACCCGTCTATCTAATATACCCCACATCGGCCCACCCGTCTATGTAATAAATAATTCACCCCACCCTTGGCTCATCCGTCTATCTAATATTTCCCTACATCGGCCCACCCGTCTATCTAATAAATATTTCACCATCCCTCGGCCCATCCGTCTACAAATAATACTGATACGTCGGCCCACACGTCTATATAATACTATTTGCTATACATCTCTCTAGGTCTATAATATATGTCAATCCTACTCTACATATTACCCACATGGGCCCACCCATCTCCATAATAATATTTCTCCCGGCCCATCTGCTATCATCGATGATATATATAACATCAGCATAGATGGGCCCACCCGTCTCCATCGGAAATAATATTCCTCCCGGCCCACCCGTCAATATCGGGTATACATAACATCGGCCCATAATCCGCTGGCCCGTATTACACGGGATATTATGTAGGTCGGGTGACCCGTATAATACGGGATTTGTCACTGAAGGGGGGCTCTTTTGTAATGGTCTTCTTGGCCTTAAATAGTTTCATTTCACTATCCGTTACCCTCTGCTTCGCAAGCCTGGCTTTGAATTGATGTTCCAATTGTCCTCATACCCAGTGCTTCGCGAGCCTCAAGTGCATCTCGTTCAACAATTCGGACGAGTCGACCTTCTTTATTTAAGATTTGTTCTAAATGTTCATATGTCGCGAACCTTAAATGCATCATATTTAGCAGAGCTTCGTGAACATCCAAAGCATTTCATTCACTGAAGACATATGATTTATCGCAATATGAAAGTACGTATGTAAACTATCATCGAAGGAAGTCGCGTACTACCGATCAAAGCAAGGATGGGTGAGATATAAACATACGGAACATCAAGAACACACGATCAAAGGAGGAACGAGTGAGATGGGGACATACGGAAACATCAAGAACATATATGCACACAAGAGCGCTCGATACAATGAAGCATTCCAAGAAGCAAGAGATGACGTCTAGTTACCTCAGACTGGGGTGGTGATGATGAGTATGCAACTAGACCAGGTAAAGGGCTCATCCTCTGACTAGAGCGGCGGGGTGTTTGTAGTACGTTCTTGGCCTGATGCGCCATGGGCCCGTAGTGAGGCTGCCAACGTTCGTCCATGTTATATGCTACCCTGCCATCACGGTGAGCCACAAGTCCTTGTTGGGGAGCAGGCACACGAGTGTCGTAAGTCGGAGCAGGTGCACGAGCACCATAATTCTCCATGTGCTGTTGCTTGTCGTAACCCGGAGCGGGTGCACGAGCACCATAATTCTCCATGTGCTGCTGCTGCTCAGAAGGTGCACGAGTAGGCGCACATCCATAAATTTCTGGATATTGTTGCTGTTGAGAAGGTACCAGTGCACGAGTATCGTAATCTTCCAGACGTTGCTGATGAGCAGGCACACGAGTACTATCATAAGCTTCTGCGTGTGGAACGTTAGCATGGTGGGGTGCAAAGGTGCGGATACATGTCGTTGCGAGGAGTGTACTGGGTGTGGCTGTAACCGGCGGTGTTGCTGCCACCTGGGCCTTGGTTCATGCGTTGGTAGTCAATCTGATTACGGCGCAGATCAGCCTGAGGATAGTTCCGACCTTGCGGCACGTCAAGATGTTGCCGTATGAAGGCGGTGGAAGAGCTCTGCCATGACCATAATTATATGGTGTGGTTTCGGGGGCAGGGCTTCGCTGGTTGTGCAAAGATGGAATCAGTGACTGTGGACGTTGTTGATATTGAGGCGATGGAGATGAAGGGGCAGACGATGGGGCAGGCGAGGGGGCAGGCGAGGGGGCAGGCAGTAAATGGTCGGTGGCTCTGCTGCTCCCATTGGTCTGCTGCTCTTGACAAGCCGCGCATGAAGCCTCCCACCTTCGACAACTGCTACTTCTGCTCCCGATGGTTCCGCTGCTCCTGATGGTCTCGTTACTCCCGCTGCTCCGCCGGTGGTCCCAATGCTCCCGATGCTCACGTCACTCCTGACGGTCCCGCTGCTCTCGTTGTTCCCAATGGTTCTGCTGCTCCTGCTGCTCTAGATGATTCGTGCGTATGAAGCATTCCACCTTCATAGAAAGCAACTTGTTTGGCTGCTGCAGTTGAACCACGCACGATCTTCTTTGGCTTCGGCTTTGAATGCTGGACCATCTCGGAGTCGCAAAGGTATACCAACTATGAGAAGATGTTATCGATGGTAAGCGTCGTATAAAGGTGACAGAAATGAAGCTTGCATACCTTCCTTGACTTCGTCTGGCTTCTGTTCCTCTTCAGATTCAGAGGTGAGCTCGATAACGTGCCCTTACCCTCTCCTTCTGCAATGCAGTATCTTTTGCCTTGCCCTTGGGCTGCGGCTCGATCACCTCAATGTCACTGGACAGAACACGACGCTTAAGTCTGCGAGTGCCACCAGTCGTCTTTGCTTTGCGTTTGCGTGACTGCACTCTATCCTCGTAGTCAGACTCGACTTGTGGGGCGTCGTCATATGCTGAGTCGTCTTCCTCCAATCCAGACGATGCTTTCATGATTCATCGAGAGTGATTACATTGGAAGGTGGGGCGTTGCCTGTGATTTTGGAGGCTTAACTACCTTCGAAGGGCGTGCAGGAGGTATCTCGACTGAAACGACGAGATTTTTTGATGAACAATGGTGAAGTGGGAGAATCGTCGTCGACAACTATGGAAGAAGCGATGGGCGCAGCCTGCCTGTTTGGCTTCCTGACTTTGGTAGTTGCTGCACTTGGCCGGAGACGAGACGGTCCTTCACGATCGATAATGCCATTGGGCAAGCAACCGCCGGCCACGTAAGTGAGCAGAGTGTGGTGGAGGAGCCTCCCCAATGATGACTGGTCGGCTCTTGTCTTTGTCCTCTGAACCTAATAAGAAATTAGCGTAGGTTAAGAATATATCCATGAATACGTACCTGAGGGCCCACATTTGATCACCAGTGTTCCCGATTTCAAGGCTTCTGCGAGGATTATCTGTTCTCGTTTGTCAAGGTCGTTGATCCCCTTACTCCTCGCACTGGTGCTGCGTGTCTCTCCCGGCATAAGGATGTCCTCCAGATAGCCTTCAATGACAAATCCTTGACGATCAAGGTCACTGCGGAGCTTCTTCCACGGGAAATTGCCTGAGCGGACAGTGAGTTTCCCACCCACTTCCTCTTGAGAATGATGAGCAAGCGGTAAGCAACATACCAAGAGAAATAGATACTTACTGAGTAATGCAATGATGCCACCCTTGATAAGTGGAAGAAGGTCGACCTGAAGTTGCCAGTCATCGACATCGAGCACCTCTGGAGCATCCGGGTCATCTTTCACGGCCTCCGGAGCATCTGTTGACACTTTCGATGATTTTCGCTTGCGTGGCGGCTCATCTTCTTTTGCGCTTGGCGCGCCTTCAAGATGCATGTCCTCGGCAACCGCAAGAGATGCAAGGTTGCTAAAATTCAAGTAAGAATTCACAAAGCGGTCTACAAAGAAACCATTGACTTACTATACATGAGCTTTTAAATGTCCAATCATCGCGTCTTCGTCAGTGGCAGCGTGTTTGCCAAAACTAAAAGTGTTGAGTAAGGACTTTGATGTATACGAACGGAAGAATGACTTACTTTTTCTGCACCCGGCGTTTCGTGTATATACCCAAGTGACGGTCCTGATTGACCACCTTTCCGCATATGATAAAGACTGCTTCGAAGCCATGTTTGGCAGCAGCGGCGTCCACCTAAAAGTAAGGTTAGCACATTATTTTGATGTATGAATGTTGGACGCACCATGGTCACGACTTTTCTCCAAATCTTACTGAATTCCTGCGTTCGCTGTGAAACTGTCTGAGGTCCAACTGACCTCAC